GTTTCATAGACAGGTATGGGTAGGAAAATCTCCCCAAATTTTGGCATTTATCTACCCCCCCCCACAAAAAAAAACACCATATCCCAGAAGACATCAGCAATCTTCAACCACCACCATTAGAAACCCAAAGTTTACACTATTTCTCAGCTGGTTTTACTACATCATATCTGACCTCACCCCTTTCCATTGTCCAGTAAAAGGACCATAGAGTTCGTCACATTTTCAAATACATCGTAGTGGTGACGATCACCATTGTCAATAAGAAAGTCAAAAATGGCTGCATCTATCAGATCCAACAGGCGTGGTCCAGTGTTTGGATCGTACAGTTTCATGGCTTTAACTCTCATACAATAATCATCATCCACCTCCCACCTGAAATATGAACAGGAGACTAGAATGATGTATTGACTCTGATGATGGAGACAGAAGAAGTCTCCAGAATATTTTATAGCTCAACTATAATGCAAATGATCACCTGAAAATATTTGAGTACATTTATTTTGTGCAAATGCTTCACATCTTAAATCCTTATAATTTAATTATTTGGAGGGACAAAAATCACAAGAGCTTTAAAGCACTATGGAGTTCCAAGAGTAAGAACCTCTTTTATGCTCATTATAGTCATCAAAATATAACAAAGCATTCACCTTGCAACTGTGTGTGACTTGTATGTTCTCTGCCATGGACTACGATGTTTTTTGAGTTTGTATTTGGATGGCAACCAAAGAACAAGAGCACCCTCCATTACATCCTTTTGTGCACAGACTGGTTGGTTGGGACCACAGAAATAGCACACACCATAGAAACATGTGTTGTTCCCTGTGTAAAAGCCAACAAAACAAAGAGACACTTACAAAAGCCACCCATTTCTCTGTCACTCAGCACTGGAACAGAGCAAACAAACCAACTGAGTACACTGAGGACATGAAAAGAAGTCCCATGGGAAGGGACAATGGGAGCACTCTAGGCTTCCTAAATTTTGCTAATGTTGTAATCCCCTCCAGCCTCCTCTGGCCTATGTTAAATAGTCCAAAGGTGCCTACTGCTAGGAAAGGTTATCATATGGTTACCACTACAACAATTGTGTGACTGCAGGCAAATATACGGAACTAAGCTGGAAAGGGAAATGTAACACTTCGAGGGAGATGCAGATGGGCTAAATCCATGGGACTTATTTCTGAGACCTCAGTATAGGTGACAGCACCTTCTTGATAGAATGTCTCGAGCAGATCATTTGTGGCAACTGGCATCACTTCTCGACGCAAGTTCACTTTACGTCCTACTGTGAGAGGACTTCTTCTTAATCCCAGCAAAATTGACAAGTGAAAGGCTGCAACCTCTGCATTATGTCGATCTTTGCCAGCATACACAGGGCCACCAATCACTTTACTGCGCGAGTACCTACAAACAACATAACTTAACATTTTAGACATAATCCACATTTGAATATCGATGAAGTTCATTAAAAAATGCACTGAAAGATCAGCTGGTATCACAACAGCAGTTCTAAGATATGCCCCTCTGCTTGAGACAATGACATTAACTATCTGACAGACCATTCCACTACAGCTACTAACCTTATGTGGGCAATCTATGTGAAAGTGTATGTAACAGTCAAAGCATGTCACAATATAACTCATGGTAAATCACTTAGTTCTTACCATTTACAATGTACAACAAAACAACTTTTCTCTGATGACCCACAGTCATTGATGATCAGTGAAGGTCAAGCAGCTGCTACTCATCTGGTCAAGATATTAGCTTTTCTCATAGAATGCAAAGTTTAAAAAATATATCTCAATTCTGAAAAGCACACCTTAACTTACCACTGCGGCTTAAATACTGCCTTTTGGTTCCCAAGTAATGTAAGCATCAGTTTCAGCTGTGTTCCTTGGTGCTGTGCATTCTCAGCTCGAATAATCTTTGTGGAGCACAGTGTCCGAAGGACACTGCCAAGGTGTGGGGCACGTTTTGGTACAATCTCTCTTGGTCCCACCCACTGAAGCAAAGTTAAACAGTAACAGTGTTTATGATCACAGTAAAAAGAACAGACTTCTCCAGAGATGCAGTCTTGTGTCAGAAGGAAAGTGTATTCTCAGATCCCTCCTTCTTACTTGCCTGTATAAGCAAACCTATTCCCGAACCTATATACTTCAACCCTGAAGCCAGAGGCAGCACGTTCCTCCAAAACATCAGTATCCACTAACAGAACTACACAAGCGGCCTCCGTAGTCTAGAGGTAACGTTCCCACCTCATGACTCGTGGTACGCGGGTTCAAACCCGGCNCAAGGACATTTCCCGCCCAACAGTAGTCTCTAACGCCTCTGATAGATGGGGGAAGCATTATAGATACCGCCAAGCCAGTAGAGGCCGAACTCGCTGCCTCAGTCGGGACTGATGGTACGCACCAATATTGGCAGGGTATAGAGACTGGTAGAATATCATAGAGGGAAGCACAATGGACCAATACTGGTCTCAGTGCATGGGGAAACCCACCCTCTCCAATAACTAACTACCTAACTAACTAACTAACAGAACTACACAGCATTGCAAGCCGGAGACTGCAACCTCAAAACTCGTATCAGGTACTCCCTAGTACAAAGCTACAAGTGTCTGACTACACACATCTGTTCATTTAATTTTAAGGAAAAAACCATGACAATGTGTGAGTGAGCCTACACCAGAACAATGCAAGCTTCCTGCTCAGGAATGACAAAGTTGCATGGGCATTCAGCCAAATCTGGAAGTGTTAATAATAATGTAACTGGCATGCTCGACAGGCAGTCAAAGAAGTGCTTTTGATAACTGGTAAATGGAAAGGTATAAATGTACTGGAGTACAATAGTGTTTTGCGAAGCAATAAATACAATTTACAAGTTGCTTTCATTCAGTTTTCTCATCAGTCACGTTACTTTCTAATCCATCATACACACCTTACGAGCTGTTCCCCACAGCTCTGTTGACATCTCCATTGACAACTTCAAATCATCAAGGAGTTGACTGACAATCTGCTTGTAGGTCAAGGACACCTTATGGTAATTTGAAGAAAGTTCTAACAGCTTCTGTTTGATTCTCTGAGTGGCACTAAGAGTTGCATTTCTATACACTGGTGTCTGTTTTGGTTTGGACACTTTTTTCCTTACTGCTGGAGCTCCTACATTTTTATCTTCATGACTGACCTGTCATAAAAACAAATCAAAACATGACATTCCTGAAGGAAATGAAAGCAGACACAGACATGCTGTAACCTGAGATAATATTGTAAGAGAACTTCTCACACCCAGTCTTCTGGGATGTGACACGTAGTTCAGTAGTTCAGGCACTCGTGTTTTGGAAAAATCATCTGCCTCAATGTTCAGAACATGGAGATGGATACAACTTGTTTCTCCAAAATATTATTGCCAACCTACCACAGTACATAGTGCCACAGACCAGAAGATGATAATCTGAATACTCATTAGTGTGAGAACCTAAAACTTCAAAATTTTCTCAGAAATCCCTCATTGTATGAGATATAAAAGTATTCCTTTCATTAACACCTGTCTATGAAACATCTTCCATGAGATGATACGTTGTTATTCTAAGTAATCCTAAGAGACAAATTATAAAATAAAGAACTAAGAAGCAGATCACAGACTAAAATAAAAGAATCTCTATTCTGACAGACAAGAGAGACAGACAGAATGCAAGATGATACAGTCCTTAAAATAGCATACACATAAGTTCTCAGGAGAAAAGAAGGGGATATACAAAGACCTAGGAGTAGATGGAAGACAACTTCCAAAGCACCCAATCCTTGTAAGGGTAGATCATCAAGTTTGGTTCTTGTTTGTGACATACGTCAACCTCGATTAGCTAGTGCAGTTCAAATTCTTATTTTATTTCTAATATTAGAATTTCATTGAATTTAATTTCATCAGATGTTAACAAACAAAGATAAGTTCAAAGTTGCAAGAGTCAGACACTGTGAGACAGACATTAATAGGAGACTAGTCATAATATGCCATGTACTCCACTAGCAACAATATTTCCATCATTCACTTCCATAATCATTACTCAGGGATGTTAATATCACACAGAAGTCACTAGAGAAGTTTTTAGTCCACATAAGTGCTCTTTCATGGTTACATTTTGATTAGGTTCGCTTCAAAGTTTCTTTACTTCATGTTTCGTAAGTTTTCAGTATCTCCGCATTTGTGTTGATCTTGGCATAATGGGGGAACCAGTAACAATGTGAACTTTTACTCACTGGTTAATTCAGAGTTTACCTACCACAACTTCACTGTTTGTTTGAATACTGGGAGATCTTTCTTCTACAATCACATATACAAAGTACACATTAGCTGTTAGGACTAGCACAAAGAGAGCAGTCAGAGACAAAATTGTGCGGCGAATAATCTGAAACAAGCATTTATGACTCTGATAAACAAGAATACACTGGATATAACAACACTCTGTATTAAGGTATATTAACTTCATGAAGAAAACTAAGAAATATAATTATGAGATTCGAACATAACCTAAGTGACAAGACATACAGGTTACTGAAAGTGACAACTCTCATGAATACCCAATAACGAAATAAAACACCATCTCGTGTTATAACTGATACAGTATTTCGAAGTCTTCCCATATGACGCCAAAACAGAACTCCCCGACGTACCAATACATGATGTGTTTTGATCATATGGTGCTAAAGCAAAGAACTCTGCTTTCCTAATATAACTTTGGGAATTGAAAGGCTCATCGCAAATATCAATATTATTCTGCAAAATTATGTAGGATTAAAAACAGCTACTCTTATAACCATTTGACCTTATTTTTTAAATCATTAATAGTTTACCATTATTACATTAAATATTCTCATAAACTGTCTCTGAGAAATGTAATATTAAAAACCAGACATTTCACTCGGTAACCTTATCTTAGGAAATATTCATTACACCACTTGTACTATGGGCGACATATTTTTTGCCAATTTAAGTGTTTCCTTTCCATTTTCTCTTCTGCATCACTCTCCAACTTTACCGCACACAACAGCTGCCATAACAGCCACAGAACGTCATGACCGGTCACGACCAGACCCGTGAAACTCCCATGTTACTGGTGAGCAACATTGTCGCCATGACACCACAGTGAATTGCTCCTGCCATCTCTACGTATCCTGTATTAACTAAATTTAAAATGGCCGACAGGGCCGAGAGCACAATCGGTAATAAGGTATGCTAACATAGCAATCCTTTGTTCGCTAGAATAGCAATAAAAACTTCTTGGAGCTGAGCTCCTCTTGAGAAGCTTCCAGTTTTGCAGCTGTTCAAGAATTTCCCAGCATTTTATGGAACTTGAAGGTTCATTACCATGTTCACAACAGTCCTCCACTGATCCATATCCTTAGCCAGATCAATCCAGCCCATAATACCTCATCCTATGTCTCGTAACATTTATTTTAATGCTATCCACCCACCTACACCTTGGTCTTCCTAGTGGTCTCTTTCCTTCTTGCTTTCCCACTAATATCCTATATGCATTCATCTTCATCTCTATTCACGCTACATTCCTTACCCATCTCATCCTCCTTTACTTCATCAATCTATTATACTTAGAAAAGAGGACAAGTTATGAAGCTCCTAATTATGCACTTTTCTCGAACCTCTTATGCCCTACATTTAGGACAATGAAAGCATTTTATAACCTGACTGAAGAGTACCATCTTCTGCAATGTGACCCCATGTAGTCTGGTCAATGTGTACTGATGTTCAGAGGAACATATTGCCCCATTTTCAACTCAAGGGTCCTTAGACACCCTCGTTCCTTCATGTGTATGGTGTAGTGAATTTTTATATTAAATTAACCATAAATTTTGATATTTTGTGACCAGAAAAGAAAATATTTTATTTCAATTGTATTTTGGTGGACGTAGCATGGAATTGATAACATTTGTACAAATCGTCTTTCTGACTGAAGATTTGTGTAGCATCCATCTTCAGTCTACTCCGATGATGGAGGCGTCAAGCTCAACCTAATTATTGGGTACTGTCCCCCCCCCCCATTCATATATCAGTTATGGTCTGTAGTGGTAATCCATGAACCTAATTGTCTTACTGCAGTGGGAACTGGCCAAGGTAAGAAGGAAGAAAGATGACTAATGTGATGTGAAAGATTTATGTACAATGTAAAAAAGGAATTCAACGTGGGAAGTAGTGTTGGGGTTTGGAAGAGGGTAGACTGGCTGAATAAAAGATTGTTGTGTGATCTGCAAGCTTTGAATCGTGAATTGCATTCCCAAATATGAGGGAGGGGAAACTGCAAATTAAATGCCAGTGATAGTGTTCGTGGATGCGCTTTACTATAGGAAATATTTTGTATTTAAGGAGGTGGGGGTTTGGGAAAAGTTGCATACCCATGTGATATAGACTGAGTAAGGAAGGCTTATAAGTAACACCTCAAATAGGTCTAAACACGGAATTAAGATAAGGACTGGTGTGTGTGTGTTTTGGATTATCAGATTATTTTTAGGGGATGAAATTCATGATCTGTTGGTTTAGGTGCATTGATATGAATATTAAAGAACCAAGGGCATGTCAGTCACAGGAGAGGAATGCATAGGATATTTTGGTAGGATAAAATGAAGAATCTCTTGGGGATACAAATAGAGTATTAAGATGAATGTTGGTAGAAATGGAGCCAAGGGGCAGGATCTGGACAGGATTCTTTTATTATTATTTTTATTTGGGCGAGACAGACCATTTGGCTACTTGTGGCTTATTATACCAATCCTAGAAGATGGTGATTGTAGAGCAATTGGTGGAACGAAGATTGGCAGGGGAAATCGAAGTACTTGGAGAAAATCTTTCCTAGCGCCGCTTTGTGTCCACCACAAATACCATGTGACGAGGCCTGGGAAGCTAGCGTAGGAGTTGTGTAGTTGAGAATAAGGGACAATGAGTTTAGTGAGAGCAATTCAATTAGTTTGAGGGTGCTACGAAATGGTAATTTCTTCGGTCACTGAGCAGCTGCATGCAGGGAGTCAGCACAATGAACTTGGTCCTGATGAATGCCATCAGTGTAGAATTCCGTACCTGTAGGCAATAATGAATTTCATGGCCGTAAACGTACAGGTGGGCGGCTATAAGACGCAGTGGAGATTTCTCTGCGGCTAGGGACCATGCAACAGCGCGTATAACTTCAAATTAAAATTTCCGTTAGTATAATCAAGCCTGTTAGCACATTTTTGCCGAGAGAAAATTCAGAGTTTCGGTCGAAGGCGAAACGTTTACGCCAAGATAAAAGGAGTGCCACGCATTGTACAGCGTATGTATAAATGAACCTCCCCCTCTCAAAAACACTAGTGTATATCTAGGTGTGTTTGCTGCTGGCACCTATGTATATGCGACTGAGAGCAAAGAAGGGTATGTTCTCTGAACGCTGCAGCGAAGTTTGGATGCGATTGAGACGCAGTGTGAGCCCTGGAACAAAATAAATTAAATTTTATGTCAAGAGAATTAGATCGGTTGTCATCTCATATTGAACGGACGAAGAACGCACTTCGTGAGTCATGTACAACATCTGTATATTTTTCGGTAAGATGATTAGATACAGAAATGATCGAAGTCAATGCCTTTACATTTATTAGAGCATGTCCTTCATTGAAAAGAGAGCGATTAAGCTCTAAGATGAAATGTACCGTCCACAGAGCATTATTTATGTCTGCAATGCCGTATGCTTGCCTTGGGATTTGCGGCAAATACCCACGTTACGAAAGTGCAGCGCTTACAAATCAAGGTACTCCACGACAACACCAATATCCCAAGGCGTAGAGCGGTCAGCACCCAGAAGCCACAGAAGATCGTGAAGATGCAAATGTTCGGAATACTGGATAAGGCGAAGCCCGACAGAACACGAGGATTAAATTTTGCGACGGCGAAGCTTATGACCGTCGAGGTGACTAAATTGCCGGTCTAGCGTGAGCTAATGAAAATAAGGCAGAATCTGTTGTGGACTGACAGGGGGCTTATATATATATACAAATTGCCAAAAAAAAAAGCCATGTGTAATAATACGTATAGTTGTAGAGGTCGTGAAATGCAGTTTAGAGGAGGAAGGACGAAATATGGAAAGCAATTGACTGTGACAAGTGAGAAGGGGTAGTCCCGTCTTGCCATCAGAAAGGATTCCTATTAAAGGCCAAACAGTGAAGCTACTTCAAGACTAAGATCGGTCAAGAGGGTCTGAATGGGTTCTAAATTAAGAGAAACTGACTGGCCAACCGTCAGTCGTAAAATTACTTTGAAACGAAGCAAGAAGTAAAGAGGAATTTTGTGAAGGTAGAAACGAAGTGGCAGGATATGTGGAAGACGAAGGTGAATAGATGCCACAACAATGGTGATCCTTTGGTAAGGGACTGGTTATGGTTTAGAAGTTACGTGGTTCGAAGACATAACTCTCCCTCCTCCTTTACCCTATCTCCTAATTTCTTTCCATTTTCTTTTTCACAAAAATCCTACTGGTTTTGAACCAGGGACCTTCTGAACACTATGCTGACGTCTTACCCGTAGACCACCAGGGCCACTGAAATTTATTTTCTTTAATCTTCCTCTTAAGCTACATCTTCGGTTTGTATTCCAGAAAAAACATATTAATTCACTTTCTATATCACAAAACTATCCTAGGTCTCGAACCTTCTAACTCCTATTTAATACTCCGGTGTCTTACCCTTAGACCACCCATACCACGAAGACTTCTTATCTTTAATCTTCCTCTTATGTTACATCATTTGTTATAAATACAGAAAAATTTCATTACAAATATCCTTGTGGTCTTGAACCACGGACCTTTTCTTTACAACGCCGATGCCTTACCTCTAGACCAGGGGTCTCCAAACTTTTCGAACCGCAGGCCACATTAGGTAATCCAGCACTTTCAACGGGCCGGATAAAACGAGAAACTAATAACTCTAGGTATATGAGTTTTATTGAAAGCACACAATTTCATAAACTAAATACAAAGTACGCGAGAATAAATTATCGTATATTAATGACAATAGACAGTAGCAGCAAATGCTCATATTTTCATCACAAATTATACTAAAACAATTAATGTGAATGGTGGAAATCTTTTCGCATTCTTAAAATCTGATTAAATTGAGGTTCAAATTTTGAAACGCTAATCACAAGTAGCGACTTTAAGTGTTCATCGGATAAATTTGCCCTGTATTTCGACTTGATGTACTTCATCTGGGAAAAAGTTTGTTCACACAGATATGTCGTCCCAAAAATGGAGATAAATTTACAAGCAAATTTCTTTAAATTTGGAAATTGCTCAGAATTAAGAAATTTATAAAATTCGATCAAATTCCCTTCCTTGTATTTGTCTTTAATATGATAATTTTCCTGAAGTTCAATAATTTCCATTTGAATTTGACTTGGGACATCTGCAGCATCACAGTCAAACGGATTTTGAAACAATCTAATTTCCTGAGCACTGAAATCCAAATCAGGAACTCGCTTCCGAAATTGTTCCTTCAAATCTGAAATGACTAAATTTGCAAACGAGGAAGGAAATTCTGCTTCATCCTTTTTATGCAAATCTGCACAGTATAGCATATGAACAAAGTTACAATTTTTCACTTGGCTTTCCAGAAGTATCAACTTTGCTCTGAATGCCTTGATAAGTGCAAATAAATCACAGACTAAGTTATTTTCACCCCGCAACTTTAAATTCAAATGGTTCATATGGTTCACCAGATCAGCAAAAAATGCTAATTTCCAAAGCCACTCGGTATCTGATAAAAGTGATTCGTGATGGTTTTTCTCGGTAAGAAATATATCAATTTCATTCCTGAGCTGAAAGAAGGGCGAAAGAACCTTTCTACAGCTAAGCCATCGAACTGCAGTATAATATGTCAGGTCAGTAAGCTCGGAATCACATTTACCAGTACTCACTGGAAGATTAGTTCAATTGGCGCATTTCTGCACAATTCTTTCGCGGGCCGGATAAAATCACATCGCGGGCCGCATGTGGCCCGCGGGCCGTAGTTTGGATACCCTAGCTCTAGACAATCAGAACACCTATGCTAGA